ATGCTTTGTTAGAGGTCCAATGTTTGAAATCATTATGCTGGAATAAAATTAAAATACAGGAGAATCAATAGAACAGCACAAGATCCGTTATTGAAATGAAACGACCATTCCCTGTTTTATCTATAAATATAAGTTGAGAAATATGCTCATTAATTGTCAGTCTAACCTCCCAATGATGGCACAACTGCCGTTATGATTGTAAATTTACTTGTCTATGAGAATGACACTTGTGCCGCTACTAAGATGAGAACGTCTATAAGAATTCTATAGCTATCATTATACTTGTAAATATACTTGTCTGTGAAAATGAAACTTGTGCCGTTGCTGAGATGAAAAGTCTTTGAGAATGGTATTAGCGTCGTTACTGGAATTAAAAGTTCTAAGAGAATGGCATAAGTGATGTTACCAAAATATAAACTTCTATTATTACTTTGAGAACGATACAACTTAAGGTGTTCAATTTGAAAGGTCGTAACTTTGAAAACAAATGAAAATAAAGGAGAAATTAATACAACAGCTCAAGTGTCATTACTGATAATAAAACGACACTTATGCCATTCTATCTATAATTACGAGTTTAAGCAACCACAACCGTCATTGAGTAAAGAAATAATAGGTTGAATTCAATTAAGTTGCAAGGAAGTCCTGACATTTAAAAAAATTAAGAGATATGCTAACTACTTTTATTTTATTAAAAATAATATGATCACTTCTACTTTCAACAACTTTATATAAAATAATTTACATCATTTCAATCGTTCTCTGTCACGTGATTTATTTTTCTCGTGTACTTTACAGATCCAATGTTTGAGGATGAAATGTCATTGAGAACGATACTTATGCTGTCATTGAAATGAAAAGTTCTAAAAGAACGGAACAAGTGCCGCTTAGAGGATGAAAATGTCATTAAGAACAACACTTCTGTCGCTTTTGAGATGAAAAATTCTAAAAGAACGGTACAAGTGTCGTCACAGAAATATAATTTCTCCATGAGAACGGCACTTGTGCTGTTGCTATAAAGAAAACTACACTTGTATCGTTCTATCTATAAACACGTGTATAGATAACCCCGAAACCCATTTCAGCTGCAAGATGGATATGTCGTTTACAAAAATTAAGAGATGTGCTCATTAATTATATTTTCTACGAATCAATACAATGACTCATGATTTCACCAACTCGATAACGTATAACTTATGTCCATTCAACCGTTTTTTGTCACGTGATCAACCTTTCTAACTTTCTTAAGTTAGAGGGTCCATGTTTGACATCGCTGTATTGAAAAAGAAGTAAAATTTTTAAAAAATCAACAGAACGACACAAAAGTAGTTGAACGACACTTGTGTCATTCTGTCTATAAACATGAGTATACGTAGCCATAACCCATCCATGACCCGAGAATCAATAAGTTGAACTCATTTCAATTGCAATACGAACATTCCATTTACAAAAGTTGAGAGATGTGCTCATTGATTATATTTTCTAACGAATCAATACAATGACTTGTACTTTCACCAACTCAATTTCATATAATCTATGTCAATTCAACTGTTTTTTATCACATGATCAACCTTTCTAACTTTCTTAAGTTAGGGGATTAAAAAAGAAGCAAATTCTTTTGAAAAATCAACAGATCGACACAAGAGCTGTTAAACTACATTTGTGTCATTTTGTCTATAAACACAATTATACGTAGCCATGACCCATCCATTCCCCGAGAATAAGTTGAACTCATTTTAATTGCAATATGAATATTCCACTGACAAAAGTTGAGAGATGTGCTCATTGATTAAATTTTCTAACGAATCAATAGAATGACTTGTAATTTCACCAACTCAATGTCGTATAATCTATATCAATCCAATCGTTCTTTGTCACGTGATCAACCTTTCTAACTTTCTTAAGTTAGGGGATTCATGTTTAAGGTCACTGCGTTGAAAAAGAAGCAATTTTTTTGAGAAAGCAACAGAACGACACAAGAGCTGTTAAATGATACTTGTGTCGTTCTGTCTATAAATACGAGTATACGTAGCCACGACTCATCCATGCCCCGAGAATCAATAAGTTGAACTTATTTCAATTACAATATGAACATTCAATTTACAAAAGTTGAGAGATGTGCTCATTGATTATATTTTCTAACGAATCAATACAATGACTTGTGATTTCACCAACTCAATGTCATATAATCTATTTCAGTTCAACCTTTTTTGTCACGTGATCAAGCTTTCTACCTTTCTTAAGTTAGGAGATCCATGTTTGAGGTCGCTGCGTTGAAAAAAAAAAAGCAAAATTTTTGAGAAATTAACAGAACGACACAAGAGCAGTTAAACGACACTTGTGTCGTTCTATCTATAAACATGAGTATTCGTTGCCACGACCAATCCATGCCCCAAAAATCAATAAGTTGAACTCATTTCAATTGTAATATGAACATTCCGTTTACAAAAGTTGAGAGATGTGCTCATTAATTATATTTTCTAACGAATCAATGCATTGACTTGTGATTTCATCAACTCAATGTCGTATAATCTATGTCAATTCAACCGCTCTTTGTCATGTAATCAACCTTTCTAACTTTCTTAAGTTAGGGATCCATGTTTGAGGTCGTTGCGTTGAAAAAGAAGCAAAATATTTAAGAAATCAACAGAACGACACAAGAGCAGTTAAACTACACTTTTGTCGTTCTGTCTATAAACACGATAATACGTAGTCACGACCCACCATGCTTAAAGAACGAATAAGTTAAACTCATTTAGGTTGTAAGATGGACATAAGATTTACAAAAGTTGAGAGATATACTCATTAATTATATTATAATGAACTAGTAGAATAACTTATGTTTTTTATCAACTCAATATCATATGATCCAATCATTTAAATCATTCTTTGTCACGTGATTAACGTTTCTATCTTACGCACTTTAGTGAGTCCAATGCTTGAAGTTTTGAGTTTAAAATAAACCAAAATATAGAATAAATTAGCAGAATGGCACAAGTGCCATTATTGAGAAGAAAACGACCCATGGGTCGTTCTGTTTGTAAACACGATTATAAAACGGCCACGTCTTGTTCACGACCCCGAGAACCAATAAGCTAAACTCATTTAAGTTGTAAGATGAGCATGATTTGTACAAAAGTCGAGAGATATGCTTATTATTTATATTTTAATTAATCAGTAGAATAACTTATGTTTTCACTAATTCAATATCACACGATCTATGTCATTTTAATCATTCTTTATCACGTGAATAACTTTTTCATTTTATTTATGTTAGATGGTCCAATACTTGATATCTTTGTCTTGACAATAAATCGAAATATTGGAGAATTCAACGAAACGACATAAGTTCCTTTATTGAGAAAAAAATGACGCTTGTATCGTTCTATTTATAAATACGAATACAAGCAGTCACGCCCCATTCGTGTCTCAATAAATAATAAGTGAAACTTGTTTACATTATAATATGTACATAAAATGTACAAAGGTTAAGTAATATGTTCATTTACTTAATCAACGCATATAAGTAGGATGACTTGTGCTTTTACCATTTCGATGATATCGTTCTTTATGATATTGTCAACATTTATATGTTACATACATTATGGACTCCGTTATTAGAGGTTATTTAATTGAAAAAGATTAAATATAGGTAAAAACTTCTAATCGGTACAAGTGTCGTTACTAGACATGAAAACGACACATGTGCTGTTACATGTGTAAACATGACTATAAGCAGTTATGATCCATACGTGTCCCTAAAAAATAATAAGTTGTACTTATTTATGTTGTGATATGCACATGAAATGTACAAAAGTTGATAGATATGCTCATTTATTTAATCGACACATATGAGTAGGACAACTTATGATTTCACCATCTTGATAATATGAAAACTATGTCATTTCTTCAATATTTCTTTGTGACATGGTCAATTTTTCTATGTTATTTATGTCAATAATTCATTATTAGAGATTGTTGCATTGAAAAAAATCAAATCACAGTAGATAATGACCGTAGTGCCATTTTAAATAGCGAAAAATGACTGGAGTGACGTTTTACATTTTGAATAACAGTTGAAGTGTCATTACCATCCAATAGTTGCAGAAAACGCAAAAAAAATACTAAGTATAAAACAACATCAATCCTAATATTATTCAATAATAAATGTACAATTTATATAAGATTTCTAAAATTATCTTTCTTCTTTCTTCAAATCTAAATGGGATCTTTCAGTATAGATGATAAATATTCAAAGGATATCCAAATCGATGAAGAATAGGATTTTAGAGCAAGAATGGTTGAAAAGAAGAAATCGGGTTACTGTGATTTTGGGGACCAAAAATTGAATTGGGGAATTTGATCATTTGGCCCAACTAAACAATGTATTTTAATAAA